TTTCCTTGGGGTATTTAGAATGCACCAAGCAAGCGTTGGCCGAAAGATTTGGATGTCGATGTTGTAACGAGAAAACAATCATGGAGGACCTTAGTAAAATGAAGGTATTTTTATTAGACTGTCTTTGTGATTAAAAACATGTTTTGTACTGATTTTTGTCATCATAATTGAAGAAAATTTGTTCTGATGTAAAAATGACATGTCACTTTGACGGAGAATGTAATCTGAAACCAAGGACAATTCTTTGAAGTTCAATACGAGTAGGCTACGAGCAGCTCTTCACGAAAAGATTTTGGCTTCACCATAATAATGGCATTATTCCTTACACGTGTTTTTTTTTTTCATGAAATGATGGATTAATAAATTGTATTCAGTTGCCCAGATGCACAGAATGATACATTTTATAAGAAAAATTCGTTGTATCTCCGCATAACCGGCGGCGGTTTCCCCCACAAAAAACCCCTTCAAGCCTTGTTGAGTGGCCTTGAGTTATTGAGTGGCTGCACTGATGAGCCTAATCTCCTTCTCCCCTCCTGAAATTGAAAGGAGGGAAAGCTGTTTACTGAGTGATACAGTGCTTGAACTGAGCTTGAAAACCTCTCTGTAAGATTGTACTTTACCGGTAACTGCCAGTCTTTTGCTCTGTCGCCCCTGCCCCTGGTGCCAAGTGGTCCGCTATTCTACCTTACTAGCTCCCCTACTCACTCTCCTACTCACTTTCTTACATCCTCAGCCCTCACCCTTCGACTGCCAACTACCGAATGAAGTCTTTTACCGGGTTTTTCAGTCATCACAACCGTGCCACTGTGCCCTTTGACCAACAACCCTGACACCTTGAGGCTAATTGGTCAATCTAATCACGTGGTCCACTATTGCCATTATTTGCTGGCGACTCTGCTAGGCTAGGCGCCTTGTCCCAGGCCTACTCCTGGTCCGGCAAAGTACAATGGAGGGCTCGATAGAGATGTGCAAGAGAGCTCATTTGCATAAAATTGCAACCCCCTCACTCTAATTAAATCTACCCCGATTGTCCACTTAGCTCAGGATGGTCCGCTCATGTTATTGTTTATGTGTGTGTGTGTTTAAATTATTGTTATTGTTGCCAGGGCCTGAAACCCCCCACTGTTGTTATATGTACACAATTGTCCGCTCATGTCATGTTATTGTTTTGCATTTGTGTATTTCCTTTATTATTGTTTCATGGGGCAGGCCCCCTTGAACCCGTGTAAGGAATATTTAATGCCATTATTGTGATTAAGCCAATGAAAAATACTAGATCCAGTTAAACGCTTCTTTGTAACAGTAATTGGCACAGAAAAATGGTTCATTTTCCTACTTGGCAATAGGCTAATGAATGTTATCCATGAATAGTTGGCTAAATTGTACTTCCACTTCCGACCAAAACTACAATGGCGACAGTTTGGACGACAGTCAATTTCCTAGACGCATGTTTACAATACAACACTAGGCTTGGGTGTAGTGTTTAATTTTGTAATTTTGACAAAATCGATTCCCTCGATCTAGTATTGTGGCGTCGGTGGCCTAGTGGTTAGGTAGGCTCTCGGACTCGCAACCGTAAGGTCGTGGGTTCGAATCCCGCCAGAGACCCGACGTTGTGTCCTTGGGAAAGGCACTTTACACGAATTTTCCTCACTTCACCCAGGTGGGAATGGGTACCCGGCTATAAACAGCGAAAGATCTTGTCAGTTTGTTAGTGTTTGAGCGCTTAATCAGCTGCTTGCACTGTATGCTTCCCAGGAAGCTGAGAATGTTTCGGAGTGTTCTATGGTCTGCTGGGGTAATAATATAGTGTAAAGCGCATAGAACCTGCTGTTGAGCAGAGATATGCGCTATACAAATGCTATTTATTACTATTATTATTATTTTTACCTCGATCTACTACTCAAATACAAAATCGAGCTCAATTTTGCGAATTACGAATTTCAAATAAAATAGGCCAAAATAAGGGAGGTGGGAACTTCCGAAAAAGCGCCAGGGAGGCTGCCCAGGCCTACCTCTAGTGACATATATTTCTCTAACGACTTAGATCTACTAAGCTAGACTAAAGTTTAAAGTTGTTAATATAATCATCATACCATAAGATTTTAAAAAATATATATAGGTGCCAAACGGCTGCACAACACACAAATAATATATATATGGCCACTGAAACCGTTGCAAATCAGTTGTTTTCCAGAAATAATTTCACCAAACATCATCAAATTATGGGGCAATACACAGGAGGCCCTCCCCCCCACCCACCCAAAGAACCCTCCCTAGATTTTTGTTCCACATGCCTCCCTGAAGCCCCACTCAGATTTTAAAAATCATGCGTAATATTACCTACTACGAACTTCAAACCACTGTCTGTAACCCGAAAAAGTTTGTGAAGAATAATTCTCAATGTTCATCCTGATTCAATCCAATTTTATAGCAGTCCAACAAATGGCATTAGTTACAACAAAGGAGTTGAATGGGGGCGGAGGGTTCTCATTATTGTTGGGATTTCTTTTGTTTTTACTTGCCTGTTGGTCAAATAATAATGGTTACTTTTTAAAAATTAGGTGGCAGAGCTGAAACAGGCTTTGAAAGACAGAGGCCTGCCAACTTCAGGGACCAAGCCTGACCTCGTGAAGCGTTTGGGAGAGGCTCTTGGAACGTCAGGTAAAGCATTTGTTGCAACAGGAAATGATCTGGCTGTGATAACTAAACTTGTCTCTCTGGATTTACTTAACACAACATGATGAATGCATTTTGACAAGATATCATCAAAGTCAGACTCTAACTCTGTGTAAATAAGATCACTTTTTTTTTTCTCTCTCATGTTATTCACAACAATAGTTACAACTAATGAGTCTACAACATACTTGTGAAATCAAACTAAAGACATTTGAAAAGGAAAGAGATTTTCTTTTTTTTTCATGCTCCTCTTTTTCATTTATGTTAGCTTTCATTAGCCTTGCAGACAAGCATCATGTAAGAAGGTAAGTAGGTAAAGAAAATTTACTGAATCAAAGTGCTGAAAGTTTTGTTTTTTTAAATTTTACGTTTCTCATGGTTCTGTGTCAATATCGGTACAATTGTCATGTCCCCAGTTGATTCATCAGCAGATGCTGGACTCGATGACAGTTTGCAAGGAATCGATGAAATTGTAAGTGTATTCTGTTGTTTATCTTTCCCTTGAATATTGAATTTTGAGGTCTATTTGTTGCAGTTAAAAAAGTGATATTATTGCACAGTACTTCTGTATATATATATGCGTTCATCTCCAAAGCGGAAAGTCCGGGTTCGAGCCTTGGTTCGGACACAGATTTTTTTCGCCCCCCCCCCCTCCTGCCCACCCAGCAGTAATGGGTCCCTGACTTCGAGTTGGGGAAGTAAAGGCGACGTGGAAAGGAACTCGCCACCCTACCACAATATGCCGAAGGCCCATGAACTTGTCTCACTAACAGGGCAATCCCAAATGTCCCGATCGGATGCCGCAACAACTTTACTTTTTACTTCTGTATAGTTGATGAATCTTGATATTTTCCTGTAAATGGAAAGCCCATGAAGGAATTACAATTATTACAAGTAGTAAACTAAAGCAAATAAGTCGTATTAGTATATCAGAATGTTATAAAACAAAGGACTGTGACTGTGACAAATTAGATAACCTCCAATATTTTATCTTCTGCTTTTTTCACTTAAGATCATTAGCAGGATATATTGTTCCACATGCCTCCTTGAAGCCATACCCTGATTTTAAAAATCATGCGTAATACTAACTACTACGAACTTCAAACCACTGTCTGAAACCCAGAAAAGTTTGTGAAGAACACTTCTCTATGTCCATCCTGATTCAGTCTAATTTTATAGCAGCCCAGCTGTCCGTGACAGGTCCGTAAAAGGTCACAGAAAGTATAGACTTGCACTCCTAGACAGTGCGCTGCCATGAATTTTGTGTTAATCCATGTTAATTAAAGAAATCATCATCATCAATGCCTTTCACCCCTGGCAGGGTATAGGCCACATACAAGCTCCTTCTATTTATCTCTATCCTGAGCCATCCTTCCAAGCTCGTTCCAAGTGAGCTTCTTTTCTCTCATTTCCCTTTCCATGCATCTCCTCCATTAAACAAAGTCTACCATTAATTCTCAGCGAAATCAAATGTTTACCTCCTTTCTCCTCTCTTTACACCACCCCCCACCCACCCACTGTGTCAGCTCAATGAGGATGCCAGCCCACCATTTCCAAAGAAGAGCAGCATAGCAGAGCCTGCTCCTAGTCAGCCGAGTGAGCCAGTTAAAGTGGAGACCCCTTCTACGGAAGAGAATGTGGCCCCTGCATCAAATGGAGTGTCAGAAAAGTATGTGTACATTGTACTGTAAATATGTAGGTGAATGAATGTAATGCTAGTGTTAGTGCCGACTGTGTAAGGTTCTTTTTGTCTGTCTTCTTCTTCTTCTTCTTCTTCTTCTTCTCCTCCTCCTCCTCCTCCTCCTCCTCCTCCTCCTCCTCCTCCTCCTCCTCCTCCTCCTCCTCCTCCTCCTTTTTCTTCTTCTTCCTCTTCTTCTTATTGTTATCATCATCATTACTGTTATTATTATTATTACTATCTTTCTATGAAATTAAATAAAAAATCACACTAACCTTTGGAATTGCAAAAAACGACAATATTGTGTTTGTAAATTGTTTTTCAAAAGTACTCCTATGGTAATGCTTCATGCGTACATGTGCGTGGGTATCAATGTATGTTGCTGAAATAACTGTTGCACCTCTATAATCATTATTTAAAGAGAATTATGTGCGGAAATGTGCATTTATGTCGCAGAAACTAGTGAGAACACACAATTAGTTTTTTCTAAATGAGGTTCAGAAATGTATGAAAGATGCTGGTTTTCCAGACAAGTCTATTAAATCCATAAATCTGGATTTCTGAAATTGGATCTAAACTTAGAATAATCTCTTTCGTTCACAGATCTGATGAGCCTAAGCCTGCAGCTGGCTCTGATGAGAAAATTGCCAAGCCTGTTGAAGTTTCCAAACTTTCTCATGAAGAAGTTAGTGTCCTTGATTCTTTGATCTACTCTTAGTTTTAGGCATTTGATTAGTGTATAATCTTGAAAGATTGTGTCTTTGCAAATTTTGATAATTAGATTTTATTTTTCCCCTTAAAATTCTAAAGTTTTTATTTTTTCCGAATCTTAGTAAGTCAATACCTTTGTTTGTGTGATGTGTGACATTTTTGGTCTCACATCTATTCTTATACAGAGAATGATAGCAGATAAAATTAACCTTTTTCATTTAACACTTTGCGGCCTCTTGGCACTATAATAATACGCCTGTGAAAATTATCCGTTCTGGTCCCCTAACGCAATTCTGCGCCAGGCTCGAGAAGTCCGTTGCAGTCGCTCTCCTGGCTGGGTGATCAGATGGGGTATTTTGTTCAGCTGGCTGTGTGACTGCAAAGTGTTAAAGTTTTTGCTAGCATATCATGATCAGTTGGTTCAAAAGTGTTATGATGTATAACAAATTATTCCTTTCCCTATTGTTGTTCCACAGAGGTTGAAGATGCGAGCTGAAAAGTATGGAGTTGTTTCGACAGAAGCTAAAAAGGAACTGAGAGCTCAAAGGTTAGTTGAATGGGATTTTTTAAAATAGTTTTTCAACAATATACCTGTTTACTTTTGATTTTGATAATACACTCAAAACTTGGAATTGTGTAGAGTGAATACTAATGACATTTTGACTTTTCCTGAAGTTTTGTTTTGAGTTGTTGAAGTTTGTTTGTTTGTTTTTATTGTTTTTCCCAGTCTTCTTGCTTTTTTGCTCAAAACAAAATTATAGCTATTGGTCTATATACTCTTCCATTTTCATTTGTCAGGTGAAACTCAGTTACAACAAACTTGGATTTGACAAAAGGAAATGGATTCCCCACTCTTTTTCTTTTTTTTAATTCATTAAAATCATTAAGTATCCTGTATTTAACAAACACTTAAACTAGCAAATTAGGATTCAACTACAGTTGTTAGCGGGGCATGGAAGATGTGAAGTCTTAAACCTTTTTAAGAGTCATGCTCATGAACCTTTTAATGAGTTATGAACAGGACTCGCACTAAACATCTGGTAGGTCTAGTCAAGACTAGCCATTAGCATATTAGGCAAATGGCGGCAATCAGTCCATCAAAATGACATAGACATGCTGTTTTTGGTGTGGTTCACAGGTTTACTGTATTCTGTGTGTAAGACCATCGCAGTAAAACAATGCTGCAGGTCAGTTTGCCTTTGCTTCGGGCAGATGTTGATCTGTATTTTACTATTGTCCAGCCTCTGAAAGATATTGATCTGTATATCACTATATCCGTTGTCCAACTTCTGGTAGATCATATATATATTATATATACATAATTATTTCACTTTTTTTCAGCTTTGAAGATTAAATGCTCACAGGATTTAAACAATTTTTTTTTAAAGATGTGAAGTGAAATGTGGTGATTGCATGCATATTTTACTGCATTTTTCCTCGTATCTGTTTAAATCATAATGTTTTAATAATATTGGGTGTTCTTGTTTCGTCAGGTTTGGTCTTCCATCCTCTGGAGGTGCACTATCTGGACTAGGCACAGGGCAGCAAAATGTAAGAGTGAGAAAATTTTCTATCTGTTTGTTGTTGTGATTTTAACCTGAAAGTGTAGGGGTTTTTTTGGTTGTTTTTTCTTACGGAAGTAAAACTTTTTGTATAGTTTGATTTAATAAATTAAGTTTGGTTATGTGTTTGCAGTATTTGATTTTTTTGGTCAAATTTTTTATACTAAAAGTAATGTCAGTTGTAGTAGCTATGGATTCAGAGCAGTGTTTGATGATCTTGGTTATTTGAATGTGCTTTTGTCAAAGTGTTTATAGGCTCCAATGTATTCCCATGTATCAATATCTTTGGTGAATTTTTCTGATAATTTGTTTCTGATGTCTTATGTTCACCAGGTTGATGTTGATAAGTTGAAAAAGAGAGCAGAGCGATTTGGAACTGTGGTATCCAAATCTTTGACAAAAGTAAGTTCTTTTAGAATACTTACCATGTACTTGACAATGACAAACTTTGTTCATCTCGCTGGGAGGAATTTACTTCGGCTGTTTACAATGGCAGTAGGGTGACAAAGTTCAATATGCACTCATGCATGCACACAACAGGAGACTGGGACAGATGGCTGCGTGTTGTGGGGCAATGTGGCAGCTTGCCTGCAATGAAAACGCAGTGTTCTCTGCTGAAACCGAAACCTGCTGGACCACTGGATTTTCGCAGTAATCAATGGCCTGACCAAGTTACTGAAGCCTCGTGTTGCAGTTCTCAGAGAACCAAAGACCTTGTACTCCAAGTTCTTTCAGAATACTTTCATGTTTTCTTTTGTCTGTCTATTTAACATGAAGCAGTCTTCTGTAAAACCACATTTCAACTGCTTTGATTTTGTTTTCATTATTTTTTTATGTCGCCATGTGAAGATTTGGGTATTTGCTTAACTCTTTGAACCCCATCGGACACTGGAAGTGTCCGCGGTAATAACCCTGTTCCCCACCGGACGCTGGGAGCGTCCAGTACTTGTGACAACTGTTTCGTTTTATTTAGTGCTAGTTTTTGCTTGTTTTTCGGAACTATTCCCAAACTAAGTTTTTGAGTAATGACAAAGCCTTTGTTTCCGCTATTTAGAAGTTTATAGGCAAGCTTTTGGGGTTATAATGAGACATAGTGCACTAGGTTTAGGTGGCTGTAGAAAAAAACTCTGGGAAATGGTAGAAAAAACTCAGGGCTTAAAGAGTTAATAGCATGTTCACATATGAGCATGCTGTTCTTGTCACCGGAGTTATAAGCTACAGTAGTCTCCGCCTAAACGCACACCATACAAAAGCACGCTCCGCTCAAACGCACGCTTTCGTCATCTGACGGGTTTTTTACTATATAATTTAGACGTACAAACGCACGGTCACTCTCTCTAAACGCACGCTCCGATCCGCGAAACACGCCGAAAAGTTAAGCTTGGCAAGGAGAAATTTTCACTACAACCTGCACAGCCTGCAGAAGGCAAGCCTAGAATTTACTAGAAAATCGGATATTTGGTGAGAGTGCCCCTCACGCCGAACAAAGAGAGTAATGGACTGCGTTTACACACCCTACTTTCCACTGACGCATAGGTCTCAGTCTCGGGCTGGTCGGTTAAATGTTGGGAGGTGGGGGTTGGGGGGGGGGGGGGGTGCATGAGATTGGGGGGACTGAAGTGTTTTTTTATTGGTCACTGGAAATGTATCTTTAAGAGAAGGTCTCTGACTGGTGTTTGAGTTTGAGTGACTGCGTGTAATGTTTAGTTAGATCAAGGCCTGATGCGCGAAATGCGTAAATGCCGTAAAACACTAGACAGGCCTCTATAGAATTAAAGATTAGCCAAGTAAGCCTAATAAGCTGCGCTCGAAGAACTTATAATGTAGATCTACTTGTTCAACGAATCACAAGACAAAATGTTTCGCGGGGATGATTCTGCATGAATTTACGGTCGGGGTGGTCGCTTGGAAAGCCACGTGGCTGGTCCGTCGTTTCTATGACTATGACCAACTGTTTCTTCATAGGCTATCTGTTCCCGACATTTATAGTGTATATTCATTACTTTGAGTTTGCCCCACCCACCCCCCATTCAACACCGTTGTATTCTTAACTCCTCCTCCAAGGGAGATTACTAGAGTAATAAGGAATTGAGATGACTGCATCCCTTCCTCCCCTTGCACAGGTTCATGTAAACACACGCTCCGTATAAACACACGCTCCGGATCCCTCCCGAGCACCGTGCGTTTAGGCGGAGACTACTGTATTAGCTGGAGTCTCCTTCATTTGGTGTTGATGAAGTGTTTGAACTGTGTGATACAGTGTTGGCAGGGTGTGATGTATACTGATACACAGGGAGAAAAGTGGAGACTTTTGGACATTTTTGAGTGTCATTTTCTCTCTTCATAAAATGTAATTAATTGCTTGCTTTTTTTCAGGTGGAGGAAGATGAACGCAAGAGAAAAAGAGCCGAACGTTTTGGAGCTTCAGACGCTATCTCTACAAATGTGTCCAGTGGTCTCAGTTCGGAAGAAGTGGAGGTTTGTTTTTATTTACTCACAATAGTCATTTTTTGTTTAGATTGACAAATACAGATGAACCTCCTGTACCAACCACTTTCCTCCCACAACCACCCCCCTCCCCCCCAACTTTTTTTTCTGTAATAATGTGTTGACACTGTCCAAGATGTCCACCTGTCTAAGAGAACCACTTATCTCCTCGACAATGAGTGGCCATCTTGGACAGTTTTGACTGAATAAGAATGAATGCAGGAGAAGTTTATGGCTCTAAAGGATCTTATAGAATAGTAGTACAGTGTAACTGACAAATTCTTTCATGGACTGAACGAAATCTCACACAACATGCATTTGGTGCAAGAAGAACAAATATGCTCTAATGTGAGGCGTGCTAACAAAATGAGTTACTTCTCGCACTCCATGAATGGAGATATCAGCCAAAAATCAACACAAGGGTCATATTTGTAGTCTAAACCAATGCCATTCTCTTCAAGTTTAACATGTCTTTTATCATTTCATACTGATAAATTGTAAAAATTCAACGGTATAAATTTGATGTTTCTATTTCCATCGGTCTAAATTCTGAGAAGTAACTCATTTTGTCAGCACACTTCACAAATGGATGACAGCGTGGACTTATTACATAAAGGTCCACATGAATCTTGTAAAGCGCATGGACCTTTGCATCGTAAATTGTGGGAATCCAAATGAAGTTGCTAATTGTTGACATTTCAGTGGAAGAAAAGTTGTTTGATGCTTAAGAAGTTTTTTTTTAAAAATGTACTAGTGGGTTTTTACACATGTCTAGACTGTAGGGACACCTTGAGTTGTGGTTTTGTGCAGCAGTTGCCAGTGGCTTTGATGAGTGCCTAGGTTTCTGGGAATGTGTGATTTTGCTGCAGTTCTGGGCATGAAGAAAGACTTGAGGGAGTTCTCATGAGACAAGTTAATGTCTCCAGTTGTAGGAGAAAGGGGCTGTGTCAAGTAATGAAGACAGTGTGGACCAAAAGACCAATTGTTGAAGATGGTGGGGGGTAGGCTGCTTCGACCCTTCCTGCAGGGGTCAACAAGGGCCATGGGGATACAATATCTTTACAGAAAGATGATGATTGTCAATAAAAAATCTTCCCAATCAGGAATCGAACTTTTTACGTGGATGGTAAAGTGCCCAGTCACTACACCAGAGACACCAGATCAGTATGGTTGACTCTCCAGATTTGAAAAAAGTGGTGGGGGGTTTGTTGATTGCGTAGGTAGCTGGTTTTTTTCCTGGATACATTTGTACAGGTGTTGTATTTTTAAAGAGAGAGTGAGAGAAAAGGTCAGGTGTATAAATTCTAACTGAATTATTCTGTAAATATCTCTACATTGTTTGCCATTGTTGTCTAATGTTTGGTTATTTCGCTTATTTCAGGCGAAGAAAAAGAAGAGGGCGGAACGATTTGGCCTGACGACGTAGTGGACCAATCGGATTGCGACGTTTAGCCTCTTGTTTTTTTTAATGTTATATTTTTCTGTGTAAACTTGTCATGTGTTCATGCATCGTTTCATATTATTCCTGAACACTTTGTGTTGCTTTTAAAAGTTTCATCATTTTTTGTTTTATGGAAACAAACAATAGTTTTACTTAGATGGGAAGGGATGGCCGCGGGACACAAATGTTGTATTATATTGATGGCAGCTTTGCAAAAATAAGCCAGCCCCTGTGATAGGAATAGCGTAGCTGTGCCCACACTGTCATTGAAATTGCAGCACTGCTGATGTACATTGTACTTCTTTCAGAATTGTTGAGCACTCTGATTATCAGTTTCTCCCTTAAACACTTTGCCACCTCTTCTCGCCGATTGGCGATGTTTACCACTCAGTTTCTTTGGATTTTCCCCAAAATATGATGGCAAAGTGATTTAAACAAGTATTTTTTACTCTTCACAGTCAATAATTGTTTTTCGGTTGTCAGGTTTTTCAATGTTGATATACTGTGAAAAGAAGTAAAACTAATAAAATATTCTCAGGAGTATCTGAAGAAATTTAAGTCTTGATGCATGTTCACTGGTCAGAATATTATGTCAAAAAGAATGGAATGTGATTAGTGTGAAATCAAGATTTGTACTTCAGGTAGCAAATAGACGTATCTGCCTCAGTGCAAAAAAGAATGATCTTAAATCCTGTAGAATAACTTTAGGGGTACAAAAGAGCTTTTAAAATTTGCTTCATTTCATTTTTAAACATGAAAATAAACATACTCACTGATTGACGGGTTCTGTTTTGTTTTTATTGAATCCATTATAATATAATCAAATGTACGCTTGTTAAATGACACGTTTTCTTTTAGCAATCAAAGGTGGATGGAAACTGTAAGGTTGAAAAGCTTGAAGGGGGGGGGGGATGTTTGGTTGTGGACCAAATCTTCTATACCATTACTATTTCATGCTTGACCAAACACAGGACCAGTCATCTTCAAGGAACAGTGCTCACTCTTGCAGATCGCGTCTGATGTGAGGGGTGGGGCGTGGTTCGTGGGGGGGGGTGTCTTAGTGCTTTGCGGCACTTGCAACACAATAAGGTCATATAAGTGCCGAAGATTAGAAGTGTTACAAGAGAGTAACATACAGTATACACAAAAAAGGAGGAGAGATAAGGACGATAGATGTTTGAAAGGAAAGAAGGAGCAAACCACACCAGAGCACCCGCCAACCACCCACGTTCAGGGTTTATGTTAGATTCAGAGGTCTAGCCTTTTGCATAACCAGACAGTGTTGAAGGGGATGTTAACCCTGTTCCTGTACCACACCATCTGTGGCCAGTACAGTTGTCAGCTTCTAGTACTTGTACTTGTATGTTTGAAGTTAAGAAAAGCACATCGACACAGTAATGGTCATTTAGTGATGAGAAAAATAAGTGGGACAGGCAGAAACGTTAGATTGAAAGTAAAGAAGTAGGACAACTAGCGGTGCCCTCCAACTCCAACCACACACTCAACTTCTATCTTGCAAAAATTTACTAAAAGTAAAAGTGGGTCCTGCTGTATGGAACAGAAAAGAGCCGTTGATTTGTTTTGGTAGAGTTTTTAACGGCGCTCACAACTGCTTAGGCATATTGCCGCATAAGGTCATATGAGCGCCAAGGGGTGGATGTCAACAGAGAAGTCCATACAGGGAATCTGCTCACCTCTCTAGCTTCAGCAGCACAAAGTCTGCTTCAATTTTCAAGGCACTCCAGAAATTGCGGGTCACAAGAGTGTGACAAACATACAAAAAAAGTACAGGTAGAGGAAAAATGACAATAGTAAGGATTAGGAAAGAAAAAGCAGAAGTTCCTTGTTACAGTTCAGGCACAGTTATGAGCATGACATTGATGAATCGACCCATTTGCAATTCTACTGTGCATAGGAACATGTTAACATGGCCTAAAACACTTCAGTCAGTGGGACCGCCCCGGGGAGTACCGTTGATTTGGGAACCTGAACTTCTGCACAAGATAAGATATTGAATAAGTAAAATTCAACTCCTCGCAGATATTTGGTTTACAATGGCAACATAGATCTAAATTTCTTCAACGAGTTTGAGGAAGGTTTTGGGTTGTTTTCTTTTTTAATTTAGGTGCCATAACGCCCCTATCATTATCAACACCATCAATATAATGTTGATCATTTGGGAGGCAAGGCTTCAACCCTGTCGGTCAGAGCCAACCCAAGCTGAGAGGATACAATATCACAGCAGAAAGACCAAGATACATGTACGGTGGTACTCCTTAAAGTTCTGGATTGACGGCGCAAAGCATAATTTAGTCTTATGTATTTGAACTATTGTGCAAACAAACTCGCTCACAAAACATGCAAGAAAGTTAAAAAGACAAAGCAAATACTGCGCGCCATGTAATTGTAAGATGATATGCAAAAAGTTTATTCAATGTCATCATCAGTATTTTACCTCTCTAATCTTACCACCCACACAGGCTGTCATTTCATATAATTTCATGAATTCATCATTAGGAACAAAACATTAAGTAGGCACAATGGAAATATGCTGATTCTAAAAAAGAAAAAAAATACATCAAATGTACATTTCATAACTTATTTTGATTGATAAAAACAAAATCAACAAATTGTATAGCAAACATAACAATGAATAACAATTATACAGGTAAAAAGTTAATATCCCTCACAGGACTGGACCTTGCACGACGTAATAGACAAACTTAGAACAATTTTTAAATCACTGAGGGAAAAGACAGTCATTTTCAGTTTCCAGATTATACTGTCTTTGGCTCTAGCAAAACAACAATTGTACGGTAAGTGTTTTACAACCCCACAGACACACTATAGTTATAAAAGGGAAGACTGCTTCAACCCTGCCCATCACTGTCAAGCCAACATGGCCTGAACATGAAACAACATCCCAGGTGACGGACTTGCTGATTTAAACAACAACAAAAATCCCCAGAGAACAAAGTTCTACAAACTAGTTCTAATTCACGTCTCCTGGGCACTGCTGCAAAGAGCTTTTCTATTACAATGTACAATTAATACACTCACCACGCCAATGTACAGTGGCGGCTATACGTAGCCCTACAAAGTGACAGGAACAGGGTGAGTGTACACTTACAGAACTTAGTACCGGTACTTACACTTACACACACACAAACACATTCACACACACACACATCGAAGTCCCAAGTGTTGCTGTGACACCATTCTAAATCTCACTGAGTCAGTTTGTCTTACTTTCTCTCCCAACACAAACTGACTGTTATAGTGTTGATAAGTTTCTCTTTTATTCAAAGAAAAATAAAACCCAATTAACATTTCTTCACACAAAAACACATATAATAATAACACTACAGTCAAAGACATTCTACATTCAAACGAACTCTCAAGAAGTCTAGCTCCATGAAAACAAAAAGTGTACTAGGCTTATATGCAATTCCTTTCTACCCCAAACCCAATCTCATTATAAATGGTTAACATTAACCAGCAAAGGTGATGGACAAATAGTCGCCTCAGAGCTATTTTGTTCAATGTTTACTTAACTCTTTAAGCACTGAGTTTTTTCCCCCGTTTCCCAGAGTTTTTTTCTACAGTCACCTAAACCTAGTACACTATGTCTCATTATAACCCCAAAAGCTCGCCTCCAACTTCTAAACAGTGGAAACAAAGGCTTAGTCATTAGTAATAAACTTGGTTCAGGAATAGTTCTGAAAAACAAGCAAAAACTAGCACTAAATAAAACGAAACAGTTGTCACTATCACTAGTACTGGACGCTCCCAGCGTCCGGTGGGGAACAGGGTCATTACTGCCGAATGCTACCAGCGTCTGAAGGGGTTCAAAGAGTTAACTATAAAGTGCACTTTGGACAAAATAGTTCTGAGGCAATGAAATGCATCATCACTGTTACACACACAACATCACACATTTCTGTCTCTGTAGTGCCCTGATCCACCCTGGCTCCCAGAGTCTAACATCTGATGCAACAACTATAAAAGATGTCCCCGTGGTTTTATGCACCCCGCATAATTTAGCAAAATTTGATCATTTTTTGCATAATTTCTGATTATTTTCCTTTATCATTTTTTGTTAAAATTAACAGAATTGCATAATTAAAAATTTTGGGGCTCAGTTTGCATAATTTCAGATTTTTTAAAGCATAAAACGACGGGGACAGAAAGAAAAAAATATATAACTGCACACAAATTCACTTTTTTTTTTTTTTTTTTGGTAAGTGTTTTACGGTGCTCGCAACTGCATAAGGTCATATGAGTATTATGAGCGTGCAGGACACCTAATACTTTTAGTTGGTAGGAAATTTTGAATTTTGCGCGGGTGGCGGCCGAAGCCTACTCTTATCGATTTTAGACCACGAGGGATCTTTAACGTGCGCAACTTGCACACGGGCCCTCCGAGATTTTTCGCCCTTGTCCGAGAAGGCTAGGTGTAGATCTTTCCTACCAGAAGATCAGGGGTGAGGCAGAAAGACAGCTGTAAAAAGGAGCCAAGGAGTAGCAGTAGAAAGGCTGCAGAAAGAATCAGGAGCCCAGAGGAGGGGGCAAAGGAGGTGAGGAGGTGGGGGCAGAAAGAGGAGACGAAAGTAGACGACAGAATATTGCTAGAGAGCAGGAAAGGAGGTGAAAGGAGACAATTTTAGAGACGAAAATTTTTCGACTGCTACCCGGATTCGAACCCGGGACCTTTGAATGAGAAGCCAACACCTTAACCTCTAGGCCACGAGAGCCTCACAAATTCCCTTACACACTGTACAAATACAAAAAATACACAGAAACTATTATATTATATATATATAACAGAAAAAATGGTGAAATGGGACAGGTTTAATGCCCCTATCAACACTATTAGTATTAGTTAGGTTATTCAACCAGACCTCCGAGTTTAACGTCCATCTCCGAAAGGACCGAGCCAAATAGGAAATTCGTGTAACGTACCTTTTCCAAGGACACAACGTCGGACATAGCCGACACTTTATATAGCTGTACTGTAACAGCGTGCAAATTCATTCACCCACACCATACAGTAGGCACACACAAAGATCATATATAAAAACTATTACACAACAGCATGCAAATTCACATCACTCACCACAGAACAGACATGCTGATAGTGATAGACCAGACAAGTCAGGCATTTAAACAGAAATGAACAGACATTCTTAAAGACAGAACATAGGCTTCAATCTTGTGCCACTTCCCCAGGTGACAACATCAACAGCAATATATACATCACATGAGATCACTGACCGGGATGTGGTGTAGCTATAGACATGACCATCTTCCAAGGCAGGCATCACTCACAAAATGTTATAACAGTCTAACATGCACATGGTGAACACACACATAGCCAACAGATTTTCAAGTTTGGATGTTTTTTCTTATACCTTGTTTGTATCTTTGTAAAATAGGTTCATTGGAAAATTCATATAAAAGATTTCCCTGTTTCACCGATTTCTCTGTGTGCATGCTAGACTGCAATACATGTAATAATAGTAATGCCGGTATTAAAATAATAAGACTAAATTAGAAGAATTCAGTTTTGGAATTATAACAATAGTTGTGAATACATTTTAAAAATCATTTTCATGCTTATGTGGAGGGGTCGAGAAACAAAGTACTGGTAACAACGTTTGTAGTGTAAGGGTTACATGTTTAACTTTAATCATCGCATGCAGAAGACGTGAGTTTGATTCTCCTGAGGTTCAAAAACAGCCCCCACCATAGCCCAGTATGCTACCGACTGAGCAAACAGC